TTGTCATCCCCCTGTTTCGGTCACATTCACTCATTTCCTTACTGCCGACAGACACGCTCATGCCTTCTTTCTCTTCAGAAAACCCTCACTTGATCCTTCCATCCTTGCGAACAGTCATCCTATTTTTCTTCTCCCCTTTGCAGGCAAACTCATCTAAGGCCGTCTGGGCTGGCTACATCCACTTTTTTCTAAACCCCTCACAATCTGGCTCTCAGTATGGAAACTGCTTTCTTCAGAGTTACCTGTTTATCTCCTAATTACCAAATCCAACGGCCTTTTTAGAATCTTCATTCTCCTTGGCCTCTTTGCAGCCTGTAACAGTAACAGAAAGAATGATAACTAACATTTATGTAGAGCTTGCCGTGTGCCAGGCACTGTACCACGCTGCCTCAACGGGCAAGTGAAAAAATGCTTTGCTTGTTGGTCAGGGCGCTTCCTGTCTTCTCAGGCTTCTTCCACCTCCCTTCCCAACACGTCCTCTTCGATCTCGTGGCACTGACCTCCTGACCTGTGGGGATTCTCTCTGTCTCCCATGCTTGGAACACTCTCCCTCCTCATCGCCTCCTCTTGGCTTCCTTCAGGGCCCACCTAAAACCCCACTTGTGCAGGTAGCCTTTTCCGGCCCCTCTTAACTCTAGTGCCTTCCCACTGCCAGCTGTTTGCTATCCATCCTGCATATAGAAGGCTTTGTATAGCTTTGGCTGGGTGTTGTCTTCCTCATTAGACTGTGAGCTCCTTCTGCTACTTTTTGTATCTCTGTCACTTAGCACAGGGCCTGACCCATAGCAACCACTTAGTAAATATGGATTGACTGATTCCACAGAGATCACAATACTCAGAAATAAGCATCTGGGTAGCATAGTGGATGGAGTGCTAGACCTGGAGTTAGGAAGACTTGAGTTCAAATCGAGACATTGACATTTATGAGCTGTGGGACCCTAGGCACATCACTTTATTTTTTTTTTTAAGTCAAATATTTTATTTGAGTTAAAATCCAAATAAGGTACTATGATTTAACAATAATATTTTGCCTTTGTGTAGCATTCTCCCCATCTCCCCCACAACATTTGTATCTATGTAGAGAATGCCTGTATGGAAATCTCTTTTTCTTTTTTTAAAATTAATTTATTTTTAGTTTTCAACATTCACTTTCATATGCTTTTGAGTTTTAAATTTTTGTCCCCCTCCCTGCATGCCTCCCTCCCTAAGACAGCATGCAGTCTGATAGGCTCTACATATACATTCATGTTAAACATATTTTCACATTAGTTATGTTGTAAAGAAGAATTAGAACCAATAGGAGGAACCACAAGAAAGACGAAACAAAATAAAACAGAAGAAAGAAAAAAGAGCAAATAGTATGCTTTGATCTGCATTCAAACTCCATAGTTCTTTCTTTGGATGTGGATAGCATTTTCCATCATGAGACCTTTTGGAGATGTCTTAGATCCTTGCATTGCTGAGAAGGGCTAAGTCTATCAAAGTTAGCATCGCACAGTGTGCCTGTTACTGTGTACAATGTTCTCCTGGTTCTGCTCACCTCCCTCAGCATCAGTCCATACGAGTCTTTCCAGGTTTTTCTGAAGTCCACCTGCTCATCATTTCTTATGTAACAATAGTATTCCATTACATTCATATACCACAACTTGTTTAGCCATTCTCCAATTGATGGGCAGCCCCTCAATTTCCCCTCAATTTCCAATGCTTTGCCACCACAGAAAGAGCTGCTGTAAATATTTTTGTACACGTGAGTCCTTTTCCCATTTTTATGCTGTCTTGGGATACAGCCCTAGAAGTGCTATTGCTGGGTCAAAAGGTATGCACAATTTTATAGCCCTTTTGGCATAGTTCCAAATTGCTCTCTCCTTGTTTTCCTCCCTCCATTACTATATATATATATGTATTAACTTATTTATATGTGTATTGTTTACCTTGAATAGAATGGGAGCTCCCTGAAGGCAGAGACCGTTTTGTTTTAGTCTGGATAAATCCAGCAAGTGGCATATATTAGCTACTTCATAAATGAACGATGAGGCCAGCGATTTGGGGTGTACTTGGGGTGAGTGGGAGAGTATTAGCCACTCTCAGCAAGTGAATATTTTCTGCTGGATACCTATCCATGGCAATATTGTATTCAACTTCGACACCTCCAAGTACCACACAAGTGTAGTAGATGTGCCATAAATCTTTTTCTATGTGGTCTCTTGTTTCACGAGCAAAATTTTGATGATGATTCTGACAGGGATGGGGAGCCGGCAGCCTTCAAGCCAGATGTAGCCTTCTAGGTCCTTCATTGCAGCCTTTTGATGGAATCCGAATTTTACAGAACAAATAAGAAAGCTGCAGGTTCCTCACCCTTGCTAGGCTTTTTTAAAATGGAATTTTCTGGGTTAAATATATAATGCACTTTTTAGTTATTTTTTTTTCTTAATTGTGGTGTATGTATAATACTTAAGTAAAACTATCTTCTTTTCAAGTTGTCACTGGGTATTTGGGAAGTTTCTGTTCTAGAGTATGAGTTCCCCTAATTCTGTCCACACACATAGATGTTATCGCCATGTGCTCTTTCATTTAAAAACAGGATCTATTAAAGACTTTAGTTTTACAAAGCAGTTAAGCACAATTCTTTACTCATTTAATTTTAACACGAAAAACGGATTCTCTGTTTATTCTTTAATGTGTGGAAATAAATCATGAATTTGTAGAATCTGTATTAACCTTTTATTTAATTCAAACATTTACTTGCCATTATAGTAAAATTAAATAGCATGAATTCTCTAGTGATTATTTCTTCATATACTAAAGTAGCAGACTTCTGTCCTTGCCAACGTATTCATTTGATCTAAGGGTAGTTTATCTTGGAATTTTTGAGTTTTACATTTGTACTTGGGATCATAGAAATTTAATAGCACTGTAGTGGTGGCACTTTGAGGTTTGACATGCTTTTGTTATTAAATTGTTTCAGAAAAGTTAGTCACTTCCTAGAAATGTCATCAGTCCTGATACTTTGCCATGCCCAGGCATCCATGTCATCATCCCCCCAAGACGTGCACATGTAGTATCTTTTTAATGCCCGGCCCCAGCCATAGTTATTCTTTTCTTTTTCTGAAATCCTGTCATGTTTTCATTGCCCTGAATAATTCTTTCTCCACTTTCATATATTATATGATTTACTTGAAGAAATAAAACATCTGTTCAGAAAGGAACCTGGACTCCCCATGCCTAGCACTGGGACTGTTCTAGAAGAAGGAAAACATAAGTAGATCTAATTAAATGAAGCCCCATGTGCTGGAGAGGCAGAGAAAGATTTAATCCACCTTGTCTGTACAAAGTGGACCCCTTACCCTTTCCTCTGGAGAAGGCAGTGAAGCGGAGTGTATTCTCACTAGACTTGGTACAGGTCCATCCAGGGAGCCACTCAGCCCTGATGTGTCGGGGGGGGGGGTGACTGTGGGTCAGTCACTGACCACCTATGTGCCCTTGTTTGCTTACCTGTCAATGGTGAATGGGGATCATGGTTGTATTTCCTGCCTCACAGCAGGGTTGGGAGAAAAGTGCTTTGTAAGTTGTATTTCTGGGGAGCTGCCATTATTTCTGCCCAAGTTTCCCCTGACTAGTACTGTCTTTCCTGGGCCCTGGTCAGACACTAACATTACACAGAATGCTCCTGAGGGATGAATTTTGCTGCTTACTAGCTGTGTGATCTTGAGCAATTCATTTCACTGAAATTTGTTTTCTTTTCTGTGAAATGGGAATTGCTGGCTAGGCAGACTGCCTTGGGGAGTGTCAAGTCTAGACCTGTGATTTCATCAGTGTAGGGAGCTTCTGGGTAAGGAAGCTGTCTCTACCCGTATTTATCAGGGCTTTCCTCTAAGACGCAATCGTATGTGTTATAGGAAAGTCCTGTGTGTGATCCCTGCCCTAATACGATTCTGTGCTGTGCTCAGTTGTGGGGCCACAGTCACTGGGCCTCCTCAGACTCAGTTTCTGTATCTGCAGAGTGGGCTAACAGTTCTTGCAATCCCTGCTTTGTGGAGTTGTCGTAAGATGAGATGAGGATTACAGAACGCCTTATAAACGTCAGCTTACTCAGAAGAGATCATTGGACACTTTAAAACTAGAGGCCCATTTCAGACTTGCTGGCCATTTTTTCAAGTTGTTAGAAGCATGAGCTAAATGTAAGGTGTAGACTGGTAACTTGCAGTAACGTTCAAGTCTGGTTCAAAGTGAATTGACTCCTGCAGAATTTATTTGGAACTGGAGTCGTTGCATTGCTTTGCTTCAGACCCATCCCAGTAAGCTGCTGTCTTCCCGCCTGTGTCTTGACTCGCCTCCTTGGAAAGGGCGGGTTTTCAGGACTTTGTTGGCTTGAGGTATGAGGAAAGAGAACAAACTGTACTTCTGTATTTCCTGGGAAATGGGTTTTTTCCCCTTTTATGGGTGATGTTTTGTTCAGTCGTGTCTGATTCTTTGTGACCCCATCTGGGTTTTCTTGGCAAAGACACACACTGGAGTGGTTTGCCCTTTCCTTCTCTAGCTCATTTTACAGATGGGGAAACAGAGGCAAACAGGGTGAAGTGACTTGCCCAGGGTCACAGAGCTAGTAAGCATCTGAGGCTGGATTTGAACTCAGGTCCTCATGGCTCCAGGCCTGGCACTTAAGTCAATGCAGTATTTTAGGTGGAATGAATGTAGAGCACAAGCAGCTGGGTGACCAGGGCCCTAGCTTGTTCTGCTGGCTGTTAATCAGATGTTTGCTAGCATGCTTCGTGTCAATGGTGTCGTCACATTCCAAACCTCTTAATACTGAACTCTCCGGTATGGAAAACTGTTGGACAGCAGCACCTGTGTGCCGTGTGTGCGAATGAAATTGATTGAGTTTGGAGAGTTGGAGGCTGGTTTGATGAGCCAGAGACGTGCTTCATCTTATGTTGTCCTCAGGGAGTCAGTCTCTGTCTCAGGACAGGTTAACTTGAAGAGGTATTTTCTCTGTGTTTCAGTCGGCCATACACCAACAAAGTGATCACTTTATGGTACCGGCCCCCGGAACTTTTGCTGGGAGAGGAGCGATACACCCCTGCAATTGATGTCTGGAGCTGTGGGTGAGGAACCTTGCATTTCTTGTTGGACTTGACTCAGTCTTAAATTTTGAAGCAAAATAAAGCCCTTTGGTAACGATGGTATTTGTTTTCCAGATGCATCCTTGGAGAACTCTTCACTAAAAAACCAATATTTCAAGCCAACCAGGAACTTGCCCAGTTAGAATTGATAAGGTAACCTTTTTAAGGGGGTTCTTATTTGAGATGGGAATTAAGCAGTCCGCAGCATCAGTGCCGTGGCCCCTGTGCTGAAGCAAATGTTGCAGGGCTCAAGCCCTGCTCTCTCAGAGCGTCAGTGTCTGTGGGATGCAGACAAAGCTCAAACCCAGCTTGGTATAGAGCCTGAGGACCCAGAGGTCACCTTGGGAATCTGAATGAAGGATTTGAGAATCAGGAGTGGGTAGAAGGTTAACATCGGGCGGGGCAGAGAGGAGAAGCCGCTTGGAAAGAAGGAAGAAGGCATAGGGATGACATGAGGGAGAGTCAAGGAATCTTGAAAGTGACCTGCTGGGGGGGGGAAGGGAGATTTATCTACAAATAGAGGAGGGTCCATGAAGGATGAGCACAGAGCAGCAGGATCTGGGGCCAAGCAGCTTTCTCTGAGACTCAGAGGCTGCTTATCAGTCTTTTTTTCTAATTAAGAAATAATTCTCAGTTATATGAACATAAGTTGCCAATTTTGAGAATTTGAAACATTCAGAGTGTTATAGTTAATTCTTTATCACTCTAACAAAATACCATTCATTAGAAAGAAGCCAAATAGTTAAAGGTACATATTTTTGGGCTGCAGACACTAGGTGGCAATGTAGCTTTGCCCATATTTTTCTTGTTTTGACTCATATTTAACTAATGGAAACTTGCATGTATTTTAGCTACTTACTCTCGCATAAATGTCTTGGTAAATTTGTGATTATTAATAACCTTTCATGTCATAGATATTCATTCTTTACCAGAATAACCTCCTCATTTTATTGTACCTTACCATTTTTTGTTAAGCAGAGGGTAAAATTCAGCTTTTTACTCGGGCATACCTTACTCTCTCTCATTTCCGCTTCTACGCCAATTTCAGATTTTTCAGTTAATTAAAAAATTTATGACAAATGGGTCAGTAGACTTACGAGCTTGACAGTTGCAAGACCCTTCTCAGTAAGTGATCCCCATTGTCATTGAAGCCAGTTTTTAACCTAGCAAAGCCCCAGTCATGGGAAGAACTGCCCGTGCGTGTCTGGGCACGTAGGTCATCTTTGCTAATACAGTGTGGATTGACAGGATTGGCATTTGTCTCTTTGGCGCTGCTTTACGGTGATTGAGGGCAAACAACAGCTGGCCAGACCGGAGGGGGTCTCATAGCTTTTGTCCTTGGTCTTCTTGTGTCAGTGGATACCATTCGGGTTTTCAGTCATTATGTGAACCTCAGCTCTTAGAGCTTTAGAGTTCACAGATACCTGAAGAGATCATTCATTCCCATCCCTTCATTTTAAAGGGGAGGAAACAGGCTCAAATGTCCTCAAACTGAGGCCAGCTCGGGCTGGGTCTGACGATTCCTGGTCCACCACAGCCACACTGCTTTTCATTCCTTTTTATTAAAACTGCTGAGTGATGCAATACTGATGTGGAAACTGGTCAGGCAGAGTGGCCCCTGCCTTCCTGTCCATCTTGCTGACAGTTCCGCATGAAGTCTGGGATCTGGGCGGTGAGCCTCTAGGAGAGGCGAGTCATTAGGCTGCTTATGGACAGGGTGGAGACATGGGGTATGCCGCTTCCAGCCCGTGGGTGGCTACAGGGCTTTCAGCCTGAGTGAGTTAGGCAGACCCAATCCCCCCAAAGCCCCATGTATAATTTTAAAAGATAGTATACAGGTATACATTGAGCAAGGCTTTAAAATTAGGCTTGCATCCTAGGTGTCCCCCTCAGCTCCTCGCTGTCACCACCCCTACCCACCGTGTCCTATTGATTCTGTCATTGCAACAACTCTGCTGATTGACTCATCCACCTGCTGGGGTAGACCCTCCTTACCTCACGTCTGGAGCATTGCACTAGCTGCTGCAGGGTCTCCCTGCCTCAGTCTCTCTGCTCTGCCATCAGGGTGACCTAACCTTCTGACCCTATTATCCCTTACTTGATAAATTTCAGGGGCTCCCTGTCGCCTCTGAGATCAGAAAGTAAGGTCTCTGATTAGTTGTTAAATCCCTTCACAGCCTGGCTCCCTCCTTACGCTTTACCCCCTCCCTTGTACTCTTTAGTAATTCTGGCCTCCTGGCCAGTGTTCGCCCAGGATGCTGCCTCTCCTGATTGTGCCCCTGGTGCCTGGCACGCATTCTCTCCTCTTCTCTTTTCCTTCACGTCCCAGCTCAAATCCCACTGTGTATGAGGAGCCTTTCCCGATTGCCTCTGGAATGGCCTCCCATCTCCCCAGTGCACATCATCGTCTCCTCCATTAGACTGTGAACACTGCCTGACTTTCAGTCATTCAGTCACAACCAACTCTTGGTGACCTGTGGGGCCATAGCTTGCCAGGGCTGTTCATGGCGTTTTCTTGGCAAAGATGCTAGAGGGGTTGGCCATTTCCTTCTCCAGTAGATTGGACAAAGAGAGGTGAAATGACTTGCCCCGGTTCGCACAATCTGTCTGAGGCTGGATTGGAACTCAGGTCTTCCTGATTCTGTGCCCTGTGCTCTATCCCCTGCAGCAGCACCACCTCTCTGCCTCCCTACCTAGATCCCACTGTATGTCAGAGCTGTAGAACCTACCTTTTCAAAGAAAAACCCAGTTATACAAAATGTGATGTTTTAAAACAGATTAAAATATTATTCCTTGCTGATTCATCTTGTGTGTATATGTATACTTAGATGCGTGTGTGTGTGTGCGCGTGCGTGCAGCCTGATTGCACACAAAGTATGGCTTGTGAAATCCATCTAGTGTATAGTCCCACCTCATTTATGCCTACATATGTGTGCATCCCTGTGTACCGGTGCACACATGTGCACTCACCCACGCGCACGCGCGCCCCCCCCCCATATCTAGCGATGCACTGAAATCAGCTTTTTGGGGGGACTGTCAGTCCTGAAAAAGGACAAACGGAATTAGCCCCATTTGCTTTTTCAGTTTTGCTGAAATGTTGGTGGGTGACTTGGGTTTTTCCAAAGACATCTGAGATATGTGGTCACCTGTTTATTTACATGACAGCAATGCTAGCACATGCAGCAGGGAATCACACTCAAAAATGGAAAAATCTGAATTTGAATCTCGTTTGGGACAAGTCATTTAACTTTGCACTGAGCCTTGGGCAGCTCAGGGCTGCAGTGGAGAGAGAACAACATGTACAGTCAGGAAGACCGGAGTTCAGATTCTGCCTCAAACATGGACCAGCTTTGTGACTTGAGGGAAGTTATGTCCCCTCAGTTTCCTCATCTGTCAAATGGAGATAACAGCACTTCTCTGCAACCATTGTGAGGAATAAAAGAGATATGTAATAGGCTATGAGAGCCTTAACTTTAAGGAGCTGTAGAAATATTAGCTCCTGTTGTTATTATTTATTAAACACAGGATGACCAGTTTAGAAGGGAGTCCCTCAGGTGCAGATTGCTGTTCACAGTGAGACATGTATAAGTAGCAGAGTTAGGACGGGAACTCAGTTCCAGTGATTCCCAGTCTTGCCCTCTTTCCAGCACACAGCCCTTTGAAAGAGAGTAGAGGTCAACAGCCAAGCAGAGAGTAAAGGAGCCAGAGCTCCACCTCTGCTTTTCGCCCTTAACCTCAACCCTGATTCATTCCCTTGCCCTTTTATTTATTTGTTTCTTGTTCCTTACAAATCAGTAGGTGTAGTTGTTGAGTATTTCTGGCTGACTGATATATTTAATAATTATGGGGAGAAGTAGGACAAAAGGAATGTATATTTATTTACTCATAGCCTGTCCTTAACAGGCAGCTTCTAAGAGGGGACGAAAGGCCGCATGGTGATGTTGGGACCACGTAGGACGAAGCTGTTCCCTGGTCATGTCCTGTGCCATCAGGTGTGAAGGGGATTGGCATGCCTCGGGTGGCTACGGAGGAAAAGAGGCTGCCTACTCTCCGTCATTCTTTCATTGTCTTTTCTGATCCTTGACTGCTTTGTGAAATGTCTCCATATTGTGCCAGGAGGCTGGCCCAGGAGAGCAGGTGTTCTGTGCAGCAAAGAGTAACTCCCTCTTTTTTGCATGTGTTGTTTAGCCGAGTGTGTGGGAGTCCGTGTCCTGCGGTATGGCCAGATGTCATCAAGCTTCCCTACTTCAATACGATGAAGCCGAAAAAGCAGTACCGCCGGAAACTTCGAGAGGAGTTTGTCTTGTAAGATTAGAGTAAACTGGTGCAGAGTGTGTGTGTGTGTGTGTGTGTGCGCGCGCGCGCGTGCAGGGGTGGTGGTCTCGGAAATTTGTTCTCTCTTGGGATGCTTACATTGGGTCCGTACCTCCTTCAAAGCGCTAAATTTGGTTGAATTCTGCACCTCCCTTTATTTCGTAGCAGTGTCTACGGTGACTGTTTGTGACCTGCTAGTAACAAGTTTGATCTGGGAGCAGTGGTTTTTTATGTGCATTATTTGGTGATTATGGAGAGGAGCCTCAATGTGGAACCATGATAAAACCTAAAGAAATGTCTGTGATACATCTCTTCCCACATATTGTCCTGTTGTTTTATTTTAAGAAAATGGCCTTGTTCCTTCTGGTGACTCTAAGGTGCAGATTATCTGCAGAATCGTGGAAAATCACATTTCAAAATGTACAGTAACATAGAAAACTGTTGACCCCATCTGTGCCAAAGTAACTTCTACTCTGTTCAAAGGAAGCTGTGTCCCCAGAACCCCTTCCCAAAGCATAGTGTTACCCACCGCGCCATGAAACGCCACCCCTCACTGAGGGTGTGACGTGGGAGCACTGGCGTTTGCCGCCGGACGCACCAGCAGAACAGCAATGACTTCTCCCTCATCTCTCTCGCGGCAGCATCCCCACAGCGGCGCTGGATTTATTCGATTACATGCTGGCTTTGGATCCTGGCAAACGCTGCACGGCGGAGCAGGCCCTTCAGTGCGAGTTCCTGCGAGATGTAGAGCCCGCCAAGATGCCGCCACCTGAGTAAGTGGCGCGGTTCTCTGTAAATGGCTGTGGGATGAGTCGCCCACAGCTGCTCCTGTGATTTCTGGCTAGACAGAGAGCCAGCCCAGGGGATCTTCTGTGCTGGCTTCAGGTTTGGGGATGTGAGTTCACATCCTTGCTGGGCTGCTGCCCACCTGGGTGATTTCAGTGAAGCCACGTAATATCGCTCGGTCTCACTTTCCTCATCTGTAAAGGGAGGTTGTTGGATTTGCTCTTAAGATCTCTGTGGGCTCTTGGTGTAGGATTCTTGGATTCCAAGGACATTGATAAGCTGACTGGTAGGTAGAATGCCACGAGAGTGGGGATGGTCCTCAAGATCATGTCCCACAAGAAGCACTTGAAGGCCCTGAGTATGGAAAGGATGGAGAAAGGCTGACTGGAGATGGGCTTTCATAGGGAAGAGGGATGAGTGGTCTCCTGCTTGGCCTTGGACCATGTAACTAGAAGAGGGAACTCACAGTGAATGACCTCAATTTTTTCTGTAAAATAGCAGGCAGTGGTCTTAGCCAAGACTTGAGGGGCAGTGGGAGTTTTGGTTGGCTTGAGGAGGGATGGGAAGGTGTGGAAGAGCCAACTGTGCAGAGTGGGAAAGGCAGATAAGGAGACAGAGGAGGAATGCCTGGCAGCCCAGTGGAGCAGCCCCATCAGAACAGCCGTGGGACTTTCTCTACCCTCGCTTAGCAGCATGTATGTGTAGGAGTGAAGGCTAAGAATGGTTGGAGTGGTGCAAGATTGAGGCTTAGGCACGTCACGACTGGAAATAGAGGGGGACACAGGAGAACAGGGTTACCAGGGGCTCAGGATGGGCAGAATGGGAGAGAGTGGCTAGTGCAGGGGACGTGGCCTAGGAGAAGATGGAGGGGTCCCAGTGGGTTATGTAAAGAGGGGCAGAGGGAGAAGTAGAAAGCCGATAGATTGGGGATGTCAGATGAGGAGATTTCATATTCTTGAGCATGGAAGTGGTGTCTTTGTGGGTGGTGTCAGGATCAAGGGCGTGCCCATTTTTGTTTGTGGCAGAGGTGAGAGGGAGAAGCAGGTCATGGGGAGTGAGCAGGTTGAGGAACTGAGTGGTGAGAGTATTGGAGGGAGAATCCTAGTATGAGAGCAGGAATTGAGAGAAGTGTGAGCTATGTACCAAACCAATAGAGTATGGAAGGGGAGTGGTGGAGACGTCTGTAAATAGCCACTGGGATTTTTATTAGGTAGGTGTGGATTGTATGGACCACAAAGGAGGAGAGGTTACCGAATGATGGGGGGAGGGGGGGAGAATGTGGGAGGGGCCCTGGGGACCAGAGTGTTCCCTCTCTCCCTCATGGACAGTGAGTGGAGAAGAACAGTGAAGGTGTGGCCAGGGAGGCTGTTTTGTCAGCAGGGAAACCAGGTCTTGTGACTGCTAGAAGCTGGAAAGAGTGGGAGAGAAAAATCTTCTAAGATAAAGTGAAGTTGGTTGTCTGGGGGAACAGGCATGCCAGAGGGCACGGTGCTGTGAGTTTGTTTGGGCTTTGGAATAAGGGTTGAGGGGGATGGGAATAATTAATTGGGTGTTGGGAAAGGGGCAATGAGTTTTAGGTGGTAGTCTGCAGGGGTTCCTTTTCCTCTATTGCTCATCTCACATCTCTCAGAAGCTTTCTACCACTTTCTCCTCTTCCCCCCGTCTCACCTAAAGAGCTAGCCTCACTCCTTACCCTGGCAGACCCTCTCTGCCTGTACAAGTGATCTCCTGCCTTCCTGTCTTCTCCAGCAGATAGCCCCCATTCTCATCCCCACTCCCTCACTTACTTTCAGCCTCTCCCTCTACCGGCTCCTTTCTGACTGCGTACAAATGTGCCCATCTCTCCCTCATTCTGAAAAAACCCTCACTTGATCCTTCTATCCCTGCTAATTATCATCCTGTAGCTCTTCTGCCCTTTTAGCGAAACTCCTTAAAAAGGTGTCTACACTAGGGGCCTCCTCTTTTCTCCTCTCTCTCCCTCTCTCTTGCCCTTTACCCCGGACTTCTGACCTCCTCATTTCCCCAGAACTGCCTGCTCCAAAGTTACCAGTGATCTCTTAGTTTCCAAATCCAGTGGCTTTTTCTCCGTCCACATTCTCCTCCACCTTTCTGTGGCCTGGGACACTGTCCATCACCCTCTTGTCCTTGATAACTCTTCTCTCTAGCTTGTCTCGACACCCCTTTCTGCTGGTTCTCCTCTTCCCTCTCTGATGGCTCCTTCTCTGTCTCGTTTGCTGGACTCTTCCAGATCAGCCCTCTAACAACAGGTGTCCTCCGGGGTTCTGTCCTGGGTCCTCTTCTCTTCTCCTTCTAGACTGTTTCACTTGATGAGCTTATCCGTTCCCATGGATTCAGTGACCATCTCCATGCCCTGACCACTCTGCTGACCTCCAGTCTTACATCTCTAACAGCCACTCAGACATCTTGACCTGAAAGTCCAGTAGACTTCTCTAAAACTGACCTCATTCTCTTTGCTTCTTACCCCCACCTCTCCTACTTTCCCTGTCACTGTAAAAGGCACAACAGCCTCTGCCCTATCCTTCAGGCTCACAACCAAGGGGTCACTCATTCTCTCCCCCCCCATCCAAGTTGTTGCCAAGGGCTATTCACTTTCCCGGCATCTCTTGAATGTGCCCCTCTCTCTCCTCTGATACTGCCCCTTACCCTGCTCCAGGCCCTCATCACCCTGTGCCTGGACTATTGCTATACCTGCTAGGGGCAGGCAAGGTGGGGGCGGGGAACAGGGAAGGACTGCCTTCCCCCACTGAGCCACCAAAGTGATCTGGTGACCCCTAGCATTCTATGGGTATGGTGGGTAGAGCCCTGGGCTTGTAGCCAGGAAGACCCAGGTTCCAATCCTGCCTCAGACACCAGCAGGGCCATTCCTTTGAAGAGCACTGAACTCTTTTAGCCTGTTAACCTCATCTCTTAAATGAGGATAATAATAGCACCTCTTTGAAGGGCTGTTGTGAGGATCAGATGAGATGATATGTGAAATGTCGTGTGAACATATAAATGTTAACTGCTGTCATCAAAATGTTTTTTGATTGATTAAATGATTATGGGCTAACTTTTCAGTCTACTTTAAATTGAATACATATTGTTTGCATAATATGTATCTATAAACTGTTTTAAAGTTGCATTCATCCAAACATGAACCCTGATACAGGTGGTTGCCACACAATAACATTAAATTGAAATGATTTTCTTAAGAATACACAGAAAATTAGCTTCAGTCTTCCAGATTTGATTGAATTGTTCTAGATGAATGACTTTTGGCCCCAAGGTCTCCTTGTTACCAAATAGCTTGCCCCAAGTTGGGATGCTTATCAGTAAAAAGAAAAGCAACTGATCTTGGTCCTGGTGGGTCATTGAGCTATGTTGAGAATTGGCCAGAGAAGGAGGAGGGGACTTTGGTCTAGACTTAGAATTTTGCTGATGCAGAGAAACTCCTTTTACCAGTGCAGAGTGGCAAGTATTACGTGAAGTATGGTCTCAGAGAGTTGTGTTGAACATCGATTGGTGACATGGCCATATACGCATCAGCAGTAGGTCTTGAACCCAGGTCTCATGGACTCCTGAGCCAGCCTGTTATCTGCTCTGCTATCTGCAGGGGGCTTTTGCCTATCCAAATTAAACTATTTCCACTGGTCCAAATTATCTGTAATTGGCTATCGGCACTCTGTGGATTTCAGACGTCCGGTATCCTGTTCTGTCACTTGGCGTGATGTTTCAGTATTATTTATAGTTGATTTAACTGGGTCTTTGGGAAGCATGGTTTTGGTAAATCATCACTCGCTGATTTTGTCAGAGCTTGTTCAGTTGTTTCCGGGTGTGTCCGATGCTTGGTAACTCCATTTGGGGTTTTTCTTAGCAAAGATTCTGGAGTGGTTTGTCTTTTCCTTCTCCAGCTCACTTTACCGATGAGGAAACTGAAGGAAATGGAGTTAAGTGACTTGCCCAGGGCCACGCAGCTAGAAGAGCCCCCTAGCCCTGATTGAGAGCTGCTCATTGGGGAACGTAGCCTGTAGCCAGGAAGCCTTTGTTGTGGAGCTCACGAGGCCGGGGGTTTGCGTGGAGCGCCCATTGGGCTGCTCAGAGCTTTTGACCCTTGACAGCATTGAATCCCTCCATTTCCTCTTGTAGCCTTCCTCTGTGGCAAGATTGTCACGAACTGTGGAGCAAGAAGCGCAGAAGGCAGAAGCAGATGGGGATGACCGAGGATGCGTCTTCCGCCAAGATCCCTAGGAAAGACCTGTCTCTGGGCCTGGATGACAGCAGGACCAGCACCCCCCAGGGCATGCAGGCGAACTCACAACCCAAATCTCAGGGCAGCGCCAGTGTAGCACTTGGTCAGTAGCATTTGCTTGCTTGTATTCTTCTTCCTATTTCTTCTATAGAAATGGTTCATTATCACATGGCTGTAGAATCAGAAACACCCGGTTTCTAAGCAGTTGATCTCTGTAGCAAACTCTAGAACTAGGCTTGGCACTGCTTTGTATCATTGCCAAGGTGTTCAGAAGGAGCCCAGGACAAGAGTACGCCCAGCTCCCAAGTGCCAGGCCTAGCAGAGGAGGGGACCCCTAGTGGAATTAGCCCTATGGCTGAAGCACCACAGGTTTTTGGAGGTACATGGTATAAGGGGAAACTATTTTGCATCTAATGTTTTTTTGTTTTTGCTTTTTGGTGAGGCAGTTGGGGTTAAGTGACTTACCCAGGGTCACACAGCTAGGAAGTGTCAAGTGTCTGAGGCTGTATCATCTAACTTTCTTAAAGCTGATTTTTTCAGAATCCTGATTCTAAAAGACCCAGTGTACACAACTTTCACATAACCGCTTTTTTGCTTTCTGAGAAGAATTAATGTCCTAGTCCTCTCACCTGGCCGTGACAAAAATAATTCATGATAATTTGAATTTTAAAAATAGATGCCTTTCAACGTAAGTAACACTTGAGATTAAGCTTTTTCCTAGCAAAGTGAGCCTCTTCAAACATTTACTCTCCATTCTATTGGGTAGTTATTAATAAACAAGATGTTTTATAGCCCCTTTGCCTCACCCTACACATGGCATAAAGCACCTTCACATGTAACCTCACCTCATCAGGCTAATGGAAGGAAACATATTTGATAAGTGAAAGGCCAAGCACTAGTCTTCTGGATTTGTTGCTGGTTGGTTGGGAAAAGGACACATATCTCTGGCTGAGGATGAGTCAGAAATGTAAGACTGTTAACCTCTTACAGGTAACCAGCGTTATTGGGGTATAGAAGAATAGACGTGAAGGAGAGACATATATTGCAGGTATATATCCGGGTCCCTGCCCTGGTCACCACCACATCTCTCTGGAGCGTGGTGCGCAGGGCCTGCGTCAGGAAGGTCATGAATAATATGGAGAGTTGAGATGATGGTGCTTATGATGATGATGTGCCCCTTCCCCCCAGTGATGCTGAAGAGCAAAGAACAACAGAGTGGGGAAGGGGGATTTTCCTCTCTTCCACTCTTCTGGTTCAAACTTCTAGTTGGTGCCATGCTTGGTGATGTGCCACACCATCTCTACAGACAAGGATATCCGATGCCTTTGGCCACTTAGGTGCATTGGGATTAGCACCCTAAGATGAAAGAAAGGCCCTTAGAGGTTGTCTAAACCATAGGTTCCCAAAGTGGGCAGTACCACCCCTCCGAGGGTGCTAGGGAATGATCCAGGGGGCAGTTGTAGTTTGAAATGACCCAAATTTCAAAAAAAACCATTAAGGGCTTAAAGAAAGTAGATTTCTTATGGGGTGCTGAGCCACTGTTTTGTTTTGTAAAGGAGGCAGTGACCTCTAAACCAAACCCCTTTGACTGACTTATCCAGAGTTGCGCAGGTTTTAAGTGACAGAAGTAGAAAGGTAAGAGTCTGATCCCCCGTCCTTCAAACCGAGCCCTCACTCTTTCCACGTGTCACCCTGCCTCTGTTGGTTTATTTGCACTGATGTCTCCGAGGTTTCAGTTATCAGGCTCTTCTATAGGAGAAGAGTATGGAAACTGATGATCTTCCCACACTCCCCCCCGTCCATTGCAGGCTGCCTGTTTCTGCTCCAGAAGCACACGGACAGGCGAAGGGCGCTGGGTCATCAGGCTGAAAACACTGGCCCTTCTTACTGTTTGTGGGTTATGAGTCAGACCCAAAGGCCCAGAAATGTGTCTTTTGTATCAAGTATGTAAAACACGGTTAATCTGGATAATTATGAGTTCCAGGAAAGAGTTGCAACGCAGAAGGAGCTCTCTTGGAGAGGACAAACCAGCTCACCATTCTCTGTCTCTGGGTTTCACTGGCAGTGAGAGAGATCAGGAAGACCCTGCTAAGTAGGGGTGCGCTGACAGAGGCACTGGATGTGGGTCTTGGAGGGCTCCTGACTGCGCACTGCTGTTCAGAACAAGAGCTGGGCAGAGGGATTCCAGGGACTGCATTTCTATAGCTTTTGCAACACCCCCTTCCTAAGAGATTCACACAGATGTAGGTTAGGGTTTGCAGTTTAATCTCTTGGCTCAATTCAGATAAAAGTGAATAAAGAACACTCCAATGTCGAGGACACCCAGTGGCTCTTGCCTGGTTCCCATTGTAGTCCTAGGGGAAGGCCACACCATTGTACAGATGCTTCCCAATTCGCCAGAGCACGTGGCCTAAAACAGGCGTTTTCACACTGCCCCTCGATGAAGGGGTAGAAGGGCTTCAAGGCAAGTTCAGAAAGATTCCCTAGCAAGATTGGATATCAGTAGGGTTTTCTGGTGGAATGAGTACATAGGATGGATTATGTTTCTAAAGTTATGAAGAGACCTTTTTTTTTTGTTAAACATAAAGGATTTTGGCAAAAATCTTGAAGTTTTTCCTTCTTATGAAGAATTTACCTCCCAAACTAAACTCATTAAAATTTGAACATTGGCTCTAATTCTTATCTTTTCACAATAATACATGTTAACTCTCACAAAGTATGTGTAATTGTTCTACAATGAAATTTTTCTCAGGACTGTCTAAAGTCACCTTTCCCTACCACATTTCTCCCCCCACCCCACCCTTTTTGGTGTTAGGATAGAAAAGTCTGCTTTGCTGGTTAAATACTTCCTGGTTTGGTCTGGACTTTGGTATTTCAATGATGACAATTCTGATTAATAATAATTGTTTAAAATTTTGTCTTTAGTAAAAATAGACACTGGACAGCATTTAAACCACAATGAACTGGCAGTGCTTCTAAACCTACTACAGTCTAAACCGAGCATTAGCGTGGCTGATTGTGCCCAAATATTGAACACTAAGGTTAATCCTGACCCTCGGCAGCAGCTAAATAAAATAAACCTTCCTGCTGGAATTTTGGCAACAGGTGAAAAACAGACAGATCCACCAACCCCCCAGCAGGAGTCTTCAAAACAGCCAGGAGGAGGAATGCAGCTGTCGACTCAGCCCGTGCAGCCAAAAGTAGAGACTGACGCTGCCCAGGCAGCTGTGCAGAGTGCGTTTGCAGTTCTCCTGTCGCAGTTAATCAAGGCCCAGCAGTCTAAGCAGAAGGATGCAGCCATGGAAGAGAAGGAGAACGGAGCCGGCCACGAGCTGTCTCTGCAGCTGCGGCAGCCTCCAGAGCCCAGCCCTCCTCTACTGGGTGAGTAGCCCCGTCTGTGTGACAGCTTGCCTTCATTTCTGGAGAGCATGCTTGGGCTGAGGTGAACAGTGCCGGTGCTGTGAGCCCTGCTTTAGGGGAGGAAGCTGCAACTCAGGAAGGGAAGAGGCTGCAGGCCCGATCGCTCTGCGTCTCCTGTTCTTTCTTCATGGGCACGCCAAGGAACAGTTCACAGTGCAGGGAGCAAGCACTGTGTTTGGGTCTGACATGACCCGGGGCAGCGCCTCTTCCCCTCCTCAGGCCTCCCTTTCCTTCTCTGTGAAATGAGTGGGTTTGTCTTGATGGCCGGTGGTCTTGACATCCCTTCTGATTCTAGTTCTCTTTGCTGGCATATGCTCCCATGGTCTGGTGCTGAGTCTGGCCCCTTAGTGGCTACGTTGGGATCACTCCCACCTCTCGAGGTCTAGCGGGCATGGTTGGGTTGGGTTTATTTTGGTCGCCAGCCAGAACCCCGCATCCCCCGTTACTGAAATCACAGACCCCTCAGGGGCAAGGAAAAGGGAACCTGCATCTTAGATCATCTTTGCACGTTCCGCAGCGGCCTTCACCGTCCGGGGAGCTGCAGCGCCACAGTGATTATCGCTGCTTGTGGCTGCGCTCAGACTGTGTTTTGTGACACAAAAGGATGTGTCTGCATTCCAGAGCTCTCCTTGTTGCCTGTTAGTGCAGAGCAAAAGGGTGACATGAAAGGGAGCTGAGAACAATGTCATTCACTTCCCGGACTCTTCCCTTACCCTGTATGTGTGTCTTACATTCACGAGGACTAGGGGATGGGCAGCAGCACGGAGCTAAGCTTTTGGTGCTCTTTGTTCAGGATGACGCAAGGGAAGGATGATTCTGAAATTAGCCTTGTGCATCACATCTCGTGTTTGGTCTTAACCTCATAAGATGTGGCCAAAGCATCCAGCAGAGTGAGGATGTCTGAAAGCCGGTGTTTAGGAAGTGTTTTTAACTTCCACCTTGCTTGTGTCATTCGGAAAAGACAACCATGTATTTTGTAATAAAATGTATTTAATTATTAACATGCCCTGTATTCTTTGTGACTTAGAAAAATGCTCTTTCACTAGGCCTGGCATCCCCTTGGTTATTCTTATAGAAAATCATTCACATTTATTCTTAGTGTTGAGGGGTGAAGTAAATTGTTTTTAAATTAAATTAAAATGTTAAATTATTTTAAGTTATCTGAAAAGTAAATTATTTTTGGAAAACTTAAACAAGGAGATTATCCCATTTGATAAAAAATAGGGGGGGATGGGGCACAAGTCCCAGGAGGGTACTAGAATTGGGCCAGGAGAATCCGTCATTTAGATATTCCAACAGACTCAACAGTTGTTGAGGCTCTCCTGAATGTAAGGCACTGTATGTCACACATGGATGATGCCATGTGGCAAGTGAGAATTTGGCGTAAGTTCCTAAAGGGCAAGGAAGGAGAAGTTTATTCTACCTGGCGGGTAGGGGAAGGCGCATTGAGGAAGGGGCATGGCAGCTGGGTTTTTGAGAAAGGAGATGTGGGAGGATTTTTGTCCTGGGGGTAAGGGGACAGCATGAGCACATGCAGTGATCCTCAGAATATGGAGGAGGACATCAGGGAAGAAACCAGACTTTGTACATGTTAGGTTGGGGTGAGTAAGCCAGAAGGGACTGTCAGAGCTACTCCTTTTTCTTTGGGGAGGGCAGATGAGAGGGGTTGGCTTTGCCTGCTGACATTCTGTTCCTAGTGCAGAAAAAGACTGTCTTGCCCTAGTTAGTAGGTTCTCTCAGAATTTGAGGCCTGTTGCACCCAAGTGTAGTCTGTTTGGAGACATCCCATCCCCCCGTCCCCCCACTTTATAATCTCTCTTGATATCTTCCTTTCCCATTCACCTTGCCTCTACTCTACCACCAGATTCCGGATGGTTATAATTTAGTAGATAAATATTTGGGAGGGGCCTTAAATGAAGAGAAGTTAAGTGATTTTCTCAGAGTCGCACAGCTAGTAAGTGTCAAAAGTGGGATTTGAACCTTGGTCTTCTGTACACTGGGCAATTAGGTGGCACAGTGGATAGAGTGTTGGGACTGGAGTAAGGAAGAGACCCCTCTTTTTAAGTTAAAATCTGGCTTCAGACATATGCTAGCTGTGTGACCATAGGCAAGTCACTTAACCTTGTTTTGCCTCGGTTTTCTCATCTGTAAAGTGAGCTGGAGATGAAAATGGCAAACCAGTTCAGTGTCTTTGCTAAGAAAACCCCAAATGGGGTTGTGAACAGTGAGACCCAATTGAAAAACAACAACTTCTATCCACTAAGCCATGCTGACTCTCCAGTTCTACATTGGAGCCTCCTTTTTGTCTGGTAATGCAGCCTTGTAACTCCTTCTAGATTTTTTTTCTACCTCTGATGACATTTCTGGCAACAGAGTGTGTTATTAGAACATAACCCCTTCCTTAATTGTGATACTACTCTTGTAGTGACCGTCCCCACAGGCTGCCTCTCCTTTATCAACTGACACATTTTCATCCTTGTACCACCTGAACACAGGCATCATTGAAGTGAAGACTTGGCTTGTCATTGGACTAAGTGGGTCCACAAATTTGGGTAGTGTGCTGATTGATGTGTCTTCACTGATGCCATGAGACACGTGGCATGGGGTAGGCCTTAGCATGTCATTGCACTGAATGACTTCAAAGATTGCAAAGCCATTCTTCAATGGGGCTTCTTCTAGTCAATCCAAGGGTTCTTAACTTTTTTTATGTCATGGACCACTTGGGCAAAAGTCTGGTGAAGCCTAGGGAGCTGTTCTTTCTCTGAGAAATATTTTTAAAGGCATAAAATAAAATGCATAGGATTACAAAGGAAACCATATGGTTTCTGTTGATTGATATAAAGATGGATATTTTGTCCCTCATCCAAGCCCATGGACCCTGCTTTAGTGTCGGTAATAAGGCCTTAGCAGGTATTTATCCATACATTGAAGAGCGGACTGAGTTTTTGCTGTTTCTTGTCTACTTCTGTGGTTTAGTCTCTTCTGATACTTTGCTCTCTTGCCATGGTTGCTTCTCATCTTTCCTGGTAGCCTTTGTCTCCTATCTTTAAGTTGCCACTTTCTGATATTTACTCCTTATTTCTTCTGTTCATCCTTTGTGCCAGTAGGGCTTCTTCTTTCAAAGCTCTCACTAGCCAGAGGAGGGAGCTCTTTTTCCTTTTTGACCATTCAGGGCCATTCGCCTCTAGTTTTGGTAGTTGGCTCTTCTCAGCTCTTTTCATTTTTGCTTGCTGCTCAAAGGCTTCCCTCATCCTTCACCTCCCACTGAGATGGTTGAGCTTGCCAGAAGTTAGATTTACAGGTAAGTGAGGTCTTACATACTTAAAACATTGAATGTGGGGGATAAGGATGGGGTGTAAGGACAGTAGAGGTGGAAACGGTCAGAATGTTTGCACAAGTCATTCTATTTTCATTTTCAGGCTTAAAGATAGAGTTTGTTTATCACCTTGACCTAAGTGGCACCTGAATGGTGCTAGGCAATTTACGCCCTATATAGCACTGTTATTTAATACATGTATCTCTTCTGACCCCCCGGCCCCCGAAAGGTAAAAGCAAATGAGCCTCAGATGTTTTAAAATGATGATATTGTGGAATTTAACATGTAAATCAGTTATCTTCTTCTTTCCTTCCCAAATTTAGAATCCTTTTTTGGTGTCCTCCCTTCCCACAGTATTTTGAAACTGTGCTTTTCTAAGTTGTTAACAACAGTTGAATCCTTAGGGCAAGCAGTAATTAATTTCCCCCCAGTCCTCATGATTAGGAAAATGAAAACTCTGTCATGTTTTCAAATAGTATAATAAGGATGGCAACAGCGACAGTGACAAGCAGCACTTTACAAATATCTCATTTCATCTTTACAAGGCCCTGAGAGGTAGCTGCTGTGGTGGGTGAAAGATGAAGTGACTGAGGAAGCAAAGGTTGTAGCTTCTGAGTATATCAGTTTATTAAGCAATGCATGCCAGTTACCTAACACATTGGGACCAGGCCCCTTCCTCAGCTTAGAGCTGGGGACAGGGGAGATAAAGTTTCGTACATTAAAAACAATTAGCCAAATAAGGCCAATTAATTGAAAAGAAACAGTTAACCAGGAGACCTTATTAGGTAATCTGATTTCTAATTGGAGGACGAAAGATTAGAGACTTTCCAAGTTGGGATGGGGAGAGTGAACAGGTGGAATTCCCTGAAATCAGAGAAAGAGGTATCCCACTTCCTCCCAAGTCTCTGTATTCAGTCAAAGGAAGGTGGAAACAATAACTGATTGATCAGTCTGGGGGCAGTTTTCAGATAAGACATATGGGTTGCTTGAGCTGTATAATTGTGAGAAAATTGCTTGCATCAATCTTCAGATCTGTCTAGGTTTCTGGTCAGCATAACTGAGGACATTATTTAAGAGTCTCTAAACAGTAGGTAGTGGTGGTCCAGCCTCCCACCCATGCAGGGCCAGGTTCAAACAATGCAATAAAGTTTTCTCACAGTGTCCATAACTGAATAGTTTTCTCACAAGGCAAGAAGTTGGACTACACTAGACCCATGATTAAATAGAAAGGGAACTGAGCTAGCTCCAGAATTGAGTCACAAGATGGAGTCAGTATGGTTCATTCAATTCCCACAGTGCTATCGGTATCCTTATTTTATAGATCAAGAAACTGAGGCACACAGTGGTTGAATAATTTGTGTCTGATGCTGATTTGAACTCAGGTCTTCCTGACTCCAGGCCCAGTGATCCACAGTGGTGCCCCCTAGCTGCCTCTAATAGAATGACTGTTCCAAGTTGCTTTGTTTAGTTTGATGTGAGACCTTGTGACTTTTCTCCCCCCAATTCACCTAGGGCAAGATGAACACGTCAAACACGCAGAGATGAGGATGTTGGAGAGAACCCCAGAACAGGAGCGCCCACGAATCCTGCCTCCAGACCAGCGCCCCCCAGAACCCCCTGAGCCACCCCCCCCTTCTGAAGAAGATCTGGATTATCGGACAGAAAACCAGCATGTGCCCACGCCCAGTTCTTCATTGACTGACCCTCATGCTGGAGTGAAGGCTGCTCTGTTGCAGCTCCTTGCTCAACATCAGACCCAGGACGACCCCAAAATGGAAACAAGTATGGATTATCAGGCAGGCGACACCTATGTTCCAAGTTCAGACTACAAGGATAATTTTGCATCCTCTTCTTTCTCTTATGTTAATGACGGTTTAGGAAGTGGATCTGTTCCAGCCCTAGAAAGACGAAGCTTCATTGGAAACTCAGATAGACAGTCTTTGGAGACCTACAGCGCGGCTTCATCTCATTCTGGGGGTCCGCCTCAGCCGCCTGCCTTTTCAGAATCCTTCTCCAGCTCCGTAGCTGGGTATGGAGACATTTACCTCAACACTGGTTCCATGTTGTTTAGTGGAGATAAGGACCATAGATTTGAGTATAGTCATGGCCCAATTGCAGTTCTGGCCAATAGCAGTGACCCTGCCACGGGGCCTGAGAGCACTCACTCTTTGCCAGCCAAGATGCACAGCTACAACTATGGGGGCAATTTGCAGGAAAGCCCAGTGGGCCCTAGCCTTCTGCACGGACAGACTTGGCCTTCCCCTGCCCAGGGCCCTGGCTATTCCCAAGGATACAGGGGACATATTAGCACATCAGCAAGCAGAGGTCGAGGCAGAGGGTTGCCGTACTGAGTATCTGTTTTTCCTCAGGCACATCGTTTTTATCTGGAAAGACTTTTCCTAGCTGCAGTTTCAGGCAGCAGTCCAACAGACTTGAATAATGTTAATTCAACAACAGCTTTATTTTTTATGTGGAAAAGGGTCTTGCATACAATAGTTAAAAAAAAAAAAAACAAACCTCACACACAAAAAACCCACCTTGGCTTAAATTCATGCTGTTCTGAAAACTAGATCTCCTGACTGTACATCTTCAGATTCTAGTTAGCAATTTTATTTTGTATTTTCGCAGGTATTAGTGTATGCTAAACTTGGGGACACGAGCATTTTATGACCCTATTGCAGATCTTCTGAACTATGCACATTTGTGCTTTTTTTTGTAAGTTTGGACCAACTTTTATGTAAAAAAAAAAAAAGTTTGCCAAGAATCAGAAAGGGCACTGATTTATCGGGTATTTTTCTTTTTACAAAGCTACCTTCAGCCCAAGGTCACTGTCAGTCTTTGCACCTGCTTTCAGTGTGATTGTGAAAGGTGTACTTTGTGCTCATTTCAGAAAATAAAACACAACCTTTCTCTTGATGCAACAGTTTTATAAAAAAAAAATGGTCAATGTTATTTTTCTTTTGAATTTCCAAATTACTGCATAGCCTAGCAAAATACTAAAATGAAACAAAGGGTTTTATATACAAAATATGTTGGGGTGGGGAGGGAAAGTAAGTGCCTTAACAGGTAAGCTTAAAGTTTGAAAAAATAGCCTTTACAACCCATTTTTTAAAAAGGAGATTGGTGCCCTGAATGGAAGGGAGCCCACTCTCGATTCACCTAATGCCCACCCTCCCATGCCCATCATCACCCCTTATTCTTCTCACCATTGCCCACCCACCCACCTGCCTTTGGGTTGGGTCACTAGTCATTACCACCTCCATTAGAAAAGGGTGAGACCGAGATCAGAGAGGAGGATGAAGGTCCTCTCAGTATATTTTGCTACTTGTCAGAAGTTCTGCTCAGAGAGTTTTGTGAGGGATCTGGCTAAAAGCATCAAGGAGAAGGAGGATTTTTATTTTTATCTGTAAAGTTCAGTTATCCATCCTATCCCCATTCCCATGGATAACTGAGAGTTAACAGTAAAAGCCAGGGGTCAGTAACAAAATGGGAACAGTCCTCTTAGGATGGATAAGGGACAGAAACAGCATTGTGAATTTATCTAATTGCCATTTATTCATTTCCTGTCAGCCTGCTCCACGTTATTTCGTTGGTTTAATGAGAGCCATTGCCCAGAATGATTACAGAGGTGGCAAAAGAGGGAAACGTTCTCAAAACAGATCCCCTTTACTCCCCCCTTCTTCTAGATAAATTTGACATGATGTCCTGAGTTCTTCTGCCAAGTGTTTATGAAGTTTTAGTTCATTTTAACATCGTTTTTCTTTTGTAAAATAGAAGAGAATGATGGAATAATCCTTATTTAAGGTGCAAGTGGTACCAATTTTAACTCTTTGCTCACAAAGAATCAATTAAAAGGGTAGCCAGAGGTAAATAAGTGTTTCCATTATACCTAAATAGAAAATGTCATCCCTGGAAATTAGCATTGTGTCATTCAGATATTCTGATGATGATTCAGTGCTTGATTTGGGGTTTTAAATTGGAAAGATTACTGAATCCAAACCACTCCAGGTATAAAGTTAATTTCTATTTCCAAATGTGCTCCCTCCACCCTTACAACCTTAGGCCCTCTCCTTTAGGGAAAAAAAACTTGAACCCCATTTCATGGAAAAGGATTTCAGAACAACATGTGGAAGGAATCTGATAAATGAGCAGAACTGTTAAAACTCAAGGCACATTCATAACTTTTTTCAGTGGTAAAATTTTCCATTTCACTACTATGAAATGAATTGGTATCAGTTGGCTTTTAGTTTTTGGTGGAGTTTTTTTGGGGGAAGGGAGGGATGGGGTAGAAGGAAAAACCCCCCGAAGTTTTATTTGAACTTTGAGTTACTAACAACTTTATAATTAATTACTACATTGCAGGGAGTGAAGAAAAAAAAATCTGTAAAATTAGCAAAATAGGTACAGTATTCAAGTATCTGAAGTTGAGTACGGTGAGTCTGGTAGCTTTAGACTTTGCTATAAATGACAGTATCTAAGTTATTCTTCATAGTCACACTAGAGAATCCTGCTGCCCATAAGCAGCTAACCTGGAAATGAAGATATTTATGTGACATGAATAGCCTGTGTTTAAAAAAAATTAAATATTTTATATAAAATTGAACTGTGTTTGGATAGTTTTTCCTGATTAAACATATGTCAGTGTATCTATTCATGTTGCGGGAATGGTGGGGGAGAGAGGAAACAGCTGTGGTACACTAGGCTTGGCTTTAGCACTTTAGTTATGTCTCTGCTGCAGATACGGTGCTTTAAGGCTTATGGGGCATTTAGTATATTTGACTTTATTTGAGCCTTAAAAACAGCTCTGTGATACATGTAGTGGGGCAAGCATCACTGGCTCCATTTTACTTATGAGAAAATTAAGTTGTAATGACTTGGCCTCTGTATATAACGCTGCTTTCTTGGAAAGCAGCCACCAAACACAGAGCTGAAGGTGCAAAGACCATTATTGGCAGCAGGCCCTATCCTAGAAATGCAAGCCTGGGAGGATGACTACAGATACCTGTATTGGGAGAGATGAGCACAACTTGTGGGTGGAGAAAAGATCCATGGGGTTCTTCTTAAGAAGCAGGTGATTAACATCAACTAACAAGTGAAATGAAAACAAAAGTTTTAGATTTATTTTGTCAGCTGACCAGGTTAAGACTGAAAGGTTTCTCTTCTCTTGAACCATTTTGCAGAGGACACTTCACATCCTAACCATATTAATGCATGTCATACAGTGTTTTCAGTTTGAGATTTAGACTCTTCCTATTGGGAGGCCATTCCCAAAATGAAATGCCATCTAATGTAATTTGTTTTCTAAGAACAAGTATGAGTTTAAAGGATAAGAGATATCTGTTACCAGATATCTGGGGAGGTCAGTTAATTACAGCAGTTGGGCCCTGTTTAAGTACTCAAATGAAGTGGATTTTTGTCCAAAAAAACCCCAAGTACACTGGATTAGCATCGATTTTTTTTCAGGTCTACCTCAAGCTTGGTAACAGAATTTGTAGATGTGTTTGAAATTTTAGTTGCTAGATTTAAGATTTCAGTCGTTTTTCAGTCATAGCCAACTCTTCATGACTCTATTGGGGGTTTTCTTGGCAAAGATACTGGAGTGGTTTGCCATTTTCTTCTCCAGCTCATTTTACAGCTGAGGAAACTGAGGCAGACAGGGTTAAGTAACTTGCCCAGGGTCACACAAGCTAGGAAGTGTCTGAGGCCAGATTTGAACTAGAGGAGATGAGTCTTCCTGACCACAGGCCCAGCTTTCTACCTAGTTGCCTCAATTTAAGATAGTGGTTGACAAAAATGCCTCGGTCAAGTTCCTTGGATAATTAAGGATGATTAATCCATTGTGATGATAACCATGGATTCCCGGCTTAGGGCCTCAAAAGAGATGAGGCCATCATCAAGAGTAACCTGATAGTTACGGTGAAACAAGAAGGCGTCAATTAGGTGGTTAGTGTTTACTTGTCAGGATTCAAATATTGACGAACTTGAGCATGTTTTGGGTCCTGGGGATGGAAATGCTGCAAGCTGGTAAGTTTAGGAAGGAAGTAGAGCCCAAAAAACGGCTTGACATCGATAGGACAGAGGCCAGGCCAGTCAAAAGCCCATTTGCATGGAGTGAAAGGTTTGTTCTGCTTTCCAAATGAGGACTTAACAGAATGCATCACTGTAGTATCTGTAGAGATGGCCTCTCTCTTATTGGGCTAGGCCCCTTCCTTCTGTAGCTACTATTCAATTCATATCATGGTAAAGGAATGAGGATTTCTATTTACTTAAATATCTTAAAATGTTTTCTTAATCTTCCCATAATTGTCTCGCAGTTTAGCTTAATCTTGTTTATCCATGTGTCTAGTAAGGATGCCCGTGGGCTTAGAACAAGGGACCTGGGTCCCCCAGCTCTATTGAATACCTGGGTGACTCAGGCCAGTAATTTAGCCTCCGTCACCCTCCTGGGTTTGGCCTGGATCATCTCTGAGGGAAGGCCTGTGAGATGCTTCCAGACATTCCATTAGGTAGACAATCGTGAGTTGCTGCCGCCAGGCCAGGCTTGGCTTGGGGAGCGATGGTGGCACTTCTGTTTTTGAACAGCGATTGATAAGCACTTAGTGAGCACCTGCTGCATGTCTAGGGCTCCAAAGACCAAAATGTAACAGCCCATGCTCGAAAGGAGCCCGTGAAGCTCAGGCACGTAACTGTCTACAGAACAAACACCGGTGTTTCAGAGGACACCAGCAGGTGTGGGAGAGATCAGGAAAGGCTTCTCTTAGGTGGTGCTTGACCTCTCGGATAGAAGGAAGTGCACACTAGGCATGGGGGGCGGTTCACGGTTCACATAGAGGCCAGAGCTGGAGGCCAGTTAGGCTTCCGGAAAAAGGAATCGAATACAATGAGGAGACCAAGTTGTGATGGGCTTTAAAAAGCCAGTTTCTGTTCCATCCCCAAGGCCACAGGGAACCACTGGGATTTGCACTGGGGTGGCACATGGCCAGACCTGGGCTCAAGGAAAATCACTGGTAGCTCCTCTAAAAAGCCAAGTGGTTTGCCCTAGGCCAGTCGACAGCTGTGTGGCCTTGGGAAAGTCACCGAACATCTCTGGGCCTCAGTTGCCTCATGCATAAAACTAAGGGGTGAGGGGTTAGATGGGCCAGTCTCCCAAGTCCCTTCTAACGCTAAACGTATGATCCTAAATAGGCACCTTGGCCTTCATTTTCCAGGGGAAGAAATTGAGGCTTAGAAAGGTCAGGTAAAAGAACTTCCCAGAGTAGCTAATTCATGGTGGAGCCCCGGGTCTCCTGGTATCTTCCACCACTGAAGAATTGCACCCCCTCAGAATTTGCTGGACAGGCTTGGGAGGCCCCTGTGGCTGGAAAATCAGTGGCCCTCCTCCCCTGCCAGTGTTCTGATGAGTATGTGGGTCTGAGCTGGCCAGGTCCCCCAGCGTCCAAACCCAGGGGCAAGAACCCACAAAGCTACACCTTAAAGGGGGAATCAGAAAATACAGAGCGGCACAAAGTGGGACCCAAAGACGAAGGCTCATGGGATGGATCTGAACTCAGGGCAAGGGGGTGAGGGGAAGGAAGGGAAACGATGCTTCAAAAAGTCATGGAAAATTAATCATTTTGTGACTTGAAGAACTTCCCGCCACCGCTTCGTTTTTGGAAGCTGTCACATACTTGTCCAAATCGGAAGCTGGTTGTTTCCAAAAGTGAAGGATAAAACCAGGCCTCCCTCAGTGGAAAGGG